CCCCGTGCCCTCCCAAGAATAGGTATTTAAAAGCACGCATGGATTGAAGGTGATGTATTTCACTTCCTCTACAGGCCAAATACTGAATATTTGTGGTTTGCGCACCTCAGAAAGGAGCTTGCCAAGATGCCTGCATGTGACTGAAGCCAGCAGCCAGGCTAGCATATCTGAAAAAGACTATTTGGTGAGAAATAATTAGCCATGTTTGGAAAATAAGTTTTGTTTTGTTTTGTTTTTTTAAAGATTTTATTTTTATGGGGCTCCTGGGTGGCTCAGTCAGTTAAGGTCTGACTTGATTTCGTCTCAGGTCATGGTCTTGGGGTCATGAGATCAAGCCTGAGTCAGGCTCCACGCTCATCGCTCATAGAGGAGTCTGCTGAGATTCTCTCCCTCTCTCTCTATCCCTCCCCCGACTCATGTGTGCACACACTCTCTCTTTCTCTCAAATAAATAAAGTCTTTTTAAAAAAAAAAATTTTAGGGCGCCTGTGTGGCTCAGTTGGTTGAGTGACTGCCTTCGGCTCGGGTCGTGATCCTGGAGTCCCGGGATCGAGTCCCACATCGGGCTCCCTGCTCAGCGGGGAGTCTGCTTCTCCCTCTGACCCTCCCCCCTCTCATGTGCTCTCTCTCTCATTCTCTGTCTCAAATAAATAAATAAAATCTTAAAAAAAAAAAAAAGATTTTAGGGACGCCTGGGTGGCTCAGTCGGTTAAAGTGCCTGCCTTCGGCTCAGGTCATGATCCCAGGGTCCTGGGATCAAGTCCCACATCAGCCCCCTTGCTCAGTGGGAGCCTGCTTCTCCCTCTGCCTGCCGCTCCCCCGCTTGTGCTCACTCTTCCTCTTTCTCTCTCTGACAAATAAATAAAATAAAATCTTAAAAAAAAAAGACTTCATTTTTAAGTAATCTCTACGCCCATTGTGGGATTCAAACCCACAACCCTGAGATAAAGAGTTGCATGCTCCTCTGACTGAGCCGGCCAGGTGCCCCTGGAAAATAAGTTTTGACCTTTGGGTCTTTGTGAGTGGAAAATGGGATATGCAAACCCCAGTTCATGGGAATTTAACATTACCAGAGGGAACATGATTTCCTTTAAAGAAAAAACAAAAAACAATGAAACTACTTCTTCTAATCTCTGTATACAGTTGTATATTATACATATATAAAATAAATATATAAATTTATTAAAAGTACAATAAATATAAATTTATAAGTAAATAAAATAAAAGTATTTATATAAGTATTTAAATTTTTATATGATATGGATAACATATTAGTAATACATAAATGTTATATATAAGTACATATTTTCATATGTATATGTATGTGTATATATATATTAGGGAGGACTTCTATGTGGAGACTCTCTATAAGATGGGAATAATAGCAATGTGTCTATCATAGAATTGATGAGAGGAAGAAATGACATAACATATGTAAGTACCTGGCACAATGTCTAGCCACAGAGGAAGCCCTCAGAAATGTTCACTACTGGAGTACCCGGGTGGTTCAGTCTGTTGAGCAGCCGACTCTTGGTTTTCAGCTCAGGTCATGATCTCAGGGTCCTGGGATCGAGCCCTGTGTCGAGCTCCAAACTTGGTGGGGAGTCTGCTTGAGATTCTCTCCCTCTGCTCTTCCCCCCACTTGTGCTCTCTCTCAAATAAATAAATAAATCTTATAAAAGATGTTCACTACTATTATTGCATAATCCATCCTATCAGCACAGTAAAACCTGTGGAATATGTGGCATAATGGAGAGAGGCATGATTAGAATTACACACTGAAATATCTACAGATGGAACTATGTGATGTCTTGATTTACATCAAAATAATCCAGGAACATATGCAAGTATGTTAAATTGATTCGGGTATTGATGAAACAAGGCTGGCTAAGAATAATTATTGAAACTGAGAGATGACTACATAAGGTTGTGAGTCTCTCTGCTTTTGTGTATGCCTGACATTTCACATAATAAAAAACATGTTTTGGGTTTTTTTTTTAAGTTTTATTTATTTAAGTAATTTCTGCACCCAACGTGGGGCTTGAACTTACAACCCTGAGAGAGTCACATGCTCTTCTGATTAAGCCAGCCAGGCACCCCTAAAAAACATGTTTTGTTTTGTTTTTAATTTTTTAAAAAGGTTTATTTATTCATTTGAGAGAGAGAGAGAGAGACAGAGCAGCAGCGGGGCGGGCGGGGTGGGGGTGGGGCAGAGAGGAGGCGCAGAGGGAGAGGGAGAGAGAATCCCAGGCTGACTCTGTGCTGAGCTTGGAGCCCAATCTCACGTCCCTGAGATCATGACCTCGGCCGAAACCAAGAGTCCCACGCTTAAGGGACTGAGCCACCGAGGCGCCCAGAGCCACTCCTCTATTATATGAACACGACACAGTACACACCGTATATTATATAATATAGGATACCCCCCCCCCCCCCCAATGCAAGCTGGATTGACTGTATTGTCCGACGGGGCTCTTCGCGAAATGTCCTGTGGCCCATCGCCCTTCCCGCCAGTCATCTCGGGCACCTGGCTGAGAAAAGCCACGGTCTCCTGTTCAACTTGGACGCCACGAGGGTCCGGAGGAACCGGGCGGAAGCACGCGCGGGGTTGCCTCCGCGGCCCGTTTGCACGCACGCACACAGCCGCCCCGGCGCGGGCAGGAGCCCCCTCGGCGCCGGCCGGGCTTTGTCGACTTCCCTGGTACTAGTTGCACGTCTCCGCTTTGGGCCGACGCGTGGCATCGCGTTCTGGAAGCCCAGGCGCCCCTGGCGGCAACAGGGGCTCCAGCGGCGGGTTCGCACCGCCAGGGGCGGGAGGCCTCGGGCTCCGGAGGGAAGAGTCTAAGAGTCCCGAGCGCAGCAAATCCGCCCGCGCCCCGCGGGGCCGCCACTCCCGCTCGCGGTCTGGGAACTGGAATGGCCTGAGCCATCAGCGGGGTGGCCTCGATCAAGGATCCCCAAGCCAGTCCTCCCGCTCCCGCTCCCGCACCCGACTGCGGCCCTCTGTGCCCCGCGGCACCCCCTTCCCTGCTGTCGCGGCCGCTCCCCGCGCCCCTACGGGAGTCGGGGCCGGGGCCCCGGGCTCGCCTTCCAGGGCTAGGAGAGGGAGGGGGTGAGCGAGACGGATGCACCTTCGCCCTGAGGAGCCCGCCTACCTTCAGAGTCCCCTTCATAGTTCATCCAGTTCCGGAATGATCCCATGTAAGCGTTTTCTGCCTTCCTTGCACCCATTTTCATCCCTGTCTTCCATCCATCCACGTCAAGCCCTTATAAATCCTACTCCCTGAACTCAGGTCCCTTCATAAGGTGACCTGGCCTCCCACTCACCCTTCCACCTCCCGGCTTGGAGAGGACACGGCCAAGCACCTCCTGCCTACTGGAATTTACTTGTTTTAATTCAATTTTACTTTCTGTTTTTTCCCCCAGCCAGATCAGGTGAATCAACCCTGGCTATCAATGGGGTGACAGATGTTGCAGCCAGATCGCCCTCCCATCAGGAATTCACTTGTTTTATGTTATCTTCCCAGAGCATATTTTTTCGCCGCTCGATTAAGCTCATGGAAGGAAGGAGCCCTTTTTTTACTTAAGTTTTTTATTTTCATTCCAGTATAGTTAACATAGTGTTATATTAGTTTCAGGTGTACGATAGAGTGCAAATCGGTACATGACTCAGTGCTCATCATGGTAAGTGTCCTCTAGGAGCCCTGCTTTATTCATCACAGAATTCGAAACGCCTGGCACTAAGTAGGCGCTCCACCACTGCCTCCGGAGGGACAACACAAGGCTCGGGTTTGAGATAACAACACGATTTGTAAATGCAAATTCTTTGTTGGGAGTTGGGGAGGGTGGAGAATAAGGGTTGAGGTAGCAGAGGAGAACAAAAAGAACTTCCTATGTGCTCTATAAACCTAGCTGTTGTTCCTGTATAATGGTTAGTTATTGTTTCTACTATTATTGTTGTCATGTTCTTTTCAATGTCCTCACCTGGTGTTATTTACCAGCTTCTTCCCTCTCCTCTATTTCTGTGTCTATTTTATCTTAATTCTTTCAGCTTTATTGAGGTATAACAAATAAAAATTAAAAATATTTAAGGTGTGCAACTTGATATTTTGATATATGTGTACATTGTGAAACAATTGCCAAAATCAAGATAATTAACATACATATCTATCACCTCACTAGTTTGCCTTTTATTTCTGGTAAGAACACTTAAGATCCACTCTCTTAGCAAATTTCAAGTATCAAGACGGTATTGTTAACGTAATCACCATGGTGTACAATCTTCAGAACGTATTAATCTTGCATATATGAGATTCTCCAACATCTCCCCATTTCCCCTAAACTCCAGCTCCTGAAAACCATCCTTCTGCTCTCTGTTTCTATGAGTTGAATTCTTTTAGATTCCACATGTAAGTGAGATCATGCACTATTTGTCTTTTCTGTGTCTGGCTTATTTCATTCAACATAATGTCCTCCAGGTTCATCCAAGTTTTTGTAAATGGCATTTTCTAATTTTTTAAAGGCCAAATGATATTCCATTATATTTAATTTAACTATTAAATATATTTGAATATATACTTTATATTTAAATATATTTCACCACATGGAGCCATGAACAGTGGTGATTTTACAAGTTTCCTGGTCCTAATGGTCGAATATATCAGACACAATTTAAAGAAAAATCGTGGAATTTTACCCTTTACACCGGATTACAGGAGAGGAACCTGTTGTACCAGGCTCCACTGGGATTCAGTATGCAAATGATACAGCTTCCTGGAACAAACTTGAAGAGTCCATGGTGTCCTGAGATAGGGCAGAGAACATAAAATCCGCGCTTAACTGCCACTTGCGACCATCAGCAGTAATAGTTAACTTGGGGCTATCTTTGATTTCCTCCTCCCCCTTCTAAGGCTAGAATTCTATATGCAAATGGCTCCCAAGAGTTCTCCCGTATTTCATCCGTAGAAACACAATAAAGCATAGGTTCTAACATTTTTTTAAAGATTTATTTATTTGACAGAGACAGTGAGAGAGGGAACACAATCTTTTTTAAAGATTTTTTTAAAGATTTGTGTGACAGAGAGAGCACAAGCTAGCACACTCAGGGGGAGCTGCAGAGGGAGAAGGAGAAGCAGGCTCCCTACTGAGCTCCGCACTTGGCAGTGGAGTCTGCTTGAAATTCTCTGCTTCTCCCTCTCCATCTGCCCCTCCCCCAACTAGTGCTCGTTCACACGCATACTCTCTCTAAAATAATTAAAAAATAAAAAAATGTCAAGGTGCTAAATTGGTTCTTCTGCTATTTAACATATAGACTTAGACTTCAGGGGTCTCCACAGCCAAACCTGACGTTCCACTGATGAAAGCACTGTATAGTTTCAAAACTCCATGTAACCTTCAGCTGAAAAGAGTGTTCAGTCCATTCATTCCAAGCAAGAAATAAGAAAGCTGGCCACCATCCTGGTTGAGATGGGGCTGTGAAAAGATAAGGAAAGAGAGCTCATGGTCATGAGGTAGCTGTCCAAGAGTAGCAACCAAATTCAAGGTCAGAGATCGAGGTCCATTAGCCTCACCCTGCTCCTTCTCACATTCCTTCCCCTGAGAACCAGAAGAAGACCTTAACCCCTGGGCAATAGACAAATTATATATATATACTTATATATTAAGATTTATTTATTTATTATTTTTTTAAGATTTTATTTATTTATTTGACAGAGACAGTGAGAGAAGGAACACAAGCAGGGGGAGTGGGAGAGAGAGAATCAGGCCTCCCGACGAGCAGGGAGCCCGATGCGGGGCTCGATCCCAGGACCCCGGCATTATTACCTGAGCTGAAGGCAGACGCTTAACGACTGAGCCACCCAGGCACCCCTATTTATTTACTTTAGAGAGAGAGAGAGCCGGCAAGTGGGGGGGAGGGACAGAGGGAGAGCGAGAGAGAATTCCAAGCAGACTCCCCACTGAGTGCAGAGCCTGATGTGGAGCTTGATCCCAAGACCCTGAGAACATCACCTGAGCTGAAACCAAGACTTGGTCGCTCAGCTTAACCGACTGAGCCACCCAGGCACCCCGACAAATGATATTTTGAATAACTCTTAATACTCCTTTGGCATTTCAGGGTCCTTTGCACAAGATTGCGTCTTCTACGTTTTTTGTTTCCCCCAACACAGCTAGGTGGTGGTTCACATGTAACATGAATAGGCAGTAATAAGAGCCACAATTTTCTGAGGGCTTACTGTGAAGCAGTACCGAGCTAAGCAACATGCACCAATTACCCTGAACCTTTTCTGCAGACGGGGAAACTAGCACAGACAGAAGTTAAATACCATGCCCAAGATCACACAACTGACAAGTGGCTGTAATGAAATTCAGTGAATTAAATATTCAATTCACATCCATAAATTCTTTGAATTTGAGTGAAAAATGTACTAGTGCATGTTTTCTATGTTTCTCTTCAATAGAAAAGATGGAAAGAAATAAACATAAGTCGTGTGTTCATTCTCAGTTCATCATAACATTTTTTATAAAAGATTTTATTTATTTGTCAGAGAGAAAGAGCACAAGCAGGGGGAGCGGCAGCCTCCCCACTGAGCAGAAAGCCCTACGTAGGACTCGATCCCAGGACCCTGGGATCATGACCTGAGCAGAAGGCAGACGCTTAACCATCTGAGCCACCCAGGCGTCCCCACCATAGCATTTCATAAACCAAAATAACCCCATACCTTGGACATTCTGCTGAATGAAGGAGTCACATTAATATAACTTAATGCACTATTTCTGGATTAAAATCAAGCCGATTAAATCATTAGGTACAAACCAGGTATTTCTCATTTCTTCTTGTAACTGCACCACTTAAAAGCATTCTCTTTTCTGGGCTTTAACCACCTTTTTTGTTATTCATTCATTCATCAATTTATTCTCTATTTTATGATTTAAGGCAACATATAGAAGATGCATACAGAAAAAAAGGAAGGGCGTCTGGGTGGCTCAGTCGTTGGGCGTCTGCCTTCGGCTCAGGTCGTGATCCCAGGACCCTGGGATCGAGCCCCACATCGGGCTCCCTGCTCCGCGGGGAAGCCTGCTTCTCCCTCTCCTACTCCCCCTGCTTGTGTTCCCTCTCCCGCTGTCTCTCTCTGTCAAATAAATAAATAAAATCTTTAAAAAAAAAAAGAAAAAAAGGAAAAGTTGTTTTTTAAAAAAGTGGATTAAGCTGTTATTTTTCAAAGAAAACACAATGTCACTTTCCCTACATGAATGGTAAGCAGACAGTATTATGGAAATACAGAACTCTCACACTTTATTTATTATTTTTTAAAATAATTTTTTTTAACATTTTACTTATTTATTTGACAGAGAGAGAGAGAGACAGCGAGAGAGGGAACACAAGGGGAGTGGGAGAGGGAGAAGCAGGCTTCCCGCGGAGCAGGGAGCGGGATTCGGGGCTTGATCCCAGGATCCTGGGATCATGACCTGAGCCGAAGGCAGATGATTAACGACTGAGCCACCCAGGCGCCCCTAAAAATAATTTTATTTATTTTTTTAAGAGAGAGACAGAGAGAGTCAGAGAGAGAAAGCAGGAGCAGGGTGAGGGGCAGAGGGAGAAGCAGACTCCCTGCTGACTCCGGGATCATGACCTGAGCCGAAGGCAGAGGCTTAACCGACTGAGCCACCCAGGTGCCCCTTAAGTTCTAAAATTACCAACTGTAAAAAGTTATTTTTGAGGCAATCAGGGAAGTCTAAACGTAGGTGACTGGGCCATGATTCCAGCAGATTATTGTTGCTATTTAGGTGCTTGGATGGTACTGTGGTTATGTAGGTGAAATGTCTAAGTTTTTTGGAAATGCCATACACATAAAGATGTAGAAATAAAAAGACATATTGTCTTGAGTTTATTTCATTTTTCTAAAAGTTCTTTTTTTTATTTTTTTAACTAACCTCTATACCCAACAGGGGGCTCAAACACAACCCCAGATCAAGAGTCACATGCGCGGCCTACTAAGCCAGCCAGGTGCCCTGGCATTGGGTTTCTTTTAAATTATCATAGCCATGGGGTGCCTGGGTGGCTCAGTCGGTTAAGCATCTGCCTTTGGCTCAGATCATGATCTCAGGGTCCTGGGATCAGCCCCACATAGTCATCAGTCATATTCATCAGGCTCTCTGCTGAGGAGGGAGCCTGCTTCTCCCTCTCCCACCCCCGCTCCTCCTGCTTGTGCTCCTCTGCGCGTGCTCTCTCTCTCTGTCAAATAAATAAAATCTTAACAAAATAAAATAAATTATCACAGCCACAAGAGAAGAATGGATGGAGGAGAGGAGGATAAAAGTAAAGAATGGAGGAGCGGAGGGAAGGAGAAGAGAGGAGAAGAAAACGGAGGAAAGAGAAAAGAGGAGAGGTAGGGAGAGAAGGAAGAAAGGAGGGAAAGAGAGGAGAGGGGGCAGAGGGAGGAAAAGAGGGAGAAAAGAGAGAGGGAAGGATAGAAGGAAGGAGAGAGAAAAGGAAACCATCTTTCCATACTTCATTCTGACTTCATAAGAATTCTGTGAGATGATTATCATTATTTGAGTGAGCAGTGGTAGGAATAGTGGTCGTTGCCCTATTTCCCGTGGGGGAAACGGAGGCGTAGAGACAGTCAGGCTTGCCCCTGTCATGCAATGAGCAGAAAGCAGGAAAGAAGAAGAACCAGGCTGTGCCCTGAAACCAGATGCATGTGGCCAGGTCCACAGCCCGCGTTCTACTCAATTCCCTGGTCTTTTCTATGATATTTCTTAAGGTGGGAGGGGGTGGTTAGGGGCACTGTCCCCCCTTCTAGTTGACGAAAGGCGCCCACATTACTGCAATGCCACCACACACGGAATTTTGCATTCCAATTCCAGGGGACTCACGACATACCCGGTGGACAGCCGTGGCCTCCAAGTGAGGACTCAGGCTCTGGACCTTGCTCCCCACGCCCACTAACTGCAATGAACGGAACCGAGAGCCGGCTGACACTCCCCCCCAGAAACTCATCCTAAAACACTGCTTTCATGAAGGTGCCACCCCCCAAGCCCAAACCTCTTTCAGTTTCCATCATCCCAAACATACACATTCCAACGCCTTCCTTGAACTCAGCCCCCACCTAACATTTAAACTTTGTTGGCCCCTCAATACAGAGTTCTCTGCAGACTCCTCTCTAGCTTCCTCTCCAGCTCACACTCCAGAGCCCCCTGGCTGTGTCTGGGTTCCCTGAGACAAGCCTTAGACTTCCCTCCCTCCCGGGGTTGCTCACACTACCCCTTTACCTGAAGTTCCACGCACAGCCTGCTTAGCCTGCACCCACCTCTGACTCCCTCTGAGGAGGAAGGGAAAGCCCACAACTCCCCAGAAGCCAAATCGCCTTCGACCAGGGGCTGCTAGGAACAGTCTCTTCGGAGCTTTGGATCCTGCCGCCCCCACCCCCCCGCCCCCAGCAAGCTGTGTCACCTGGTCAAAGTCACCGAACCTCTCCAAGCCTCCACGGCCTTGGTTAAGGAAGAAGCAAAAAACAGTGATGCCGGGCGCCTGGGTGGCTCAGTTGGTTAAGCGACTGCCTTCGGCTCAGGTCACGATCCTGGAGTCCCAGGATCAAGTCCCGCATCAGGCTCTCTGCTCAGCAGGGAGTCTGCTTCTCCCTCTGACCCTCCCCCTCTCATGTGCTCTCTCTCTCTCTCATTCTCTCTCTCAAATAAATAAATAAAATCTTAAAAACAAAACAAAACAAAACAGTGATGCCTCCACCGCCCTGGGTGGGGGGGGGGGGCGCCACAGCGCCCTGTCACGCACAAGGGACAGCGGAAAGGTGGATGAGCCAGGCCCTGGTGCACGGCGAGCACTCCCGGGAGGGCACCAGCCCGAGCAAGCAGAGCTCCCTTCACCCCACAGGCTCTCCCATCTGCTTAGGAGCAGGGGCGAGGCACCCTGTCCGCACCTTCGATCACAGTGAGGGCCCATGTCCAGCCTGACCCCACTCAGTCCTGACCCCTTAACTCCAGCATCGGCTCCACTTGTCTGAGCGCCCCCGCCCCCCCCCCCGGGCCTTACTTGCATCACTTCGAGTAAAAGTCACAGCTCGGGAGAGCAGGGAGCATCACGATCCCCACTCTGCAGAGCTGGCCTGGGAGGCACAGAGATCAGCTGATTTACCTGGGCCACAGAGCCACTGAGTGGTGCTGGGACTCCATCATTTCCAGCTTCTTTCTCTCACGTGGGCTGATCTGTCTCCCCAGACCGGGAGAACCAGGGCACGAGGATGGCTGAGTCTGGACCAGAGACCTGCCCCGCACTGCCTGGCAGAGGGCCCTGTAAACACAGCAGCCGACAAAGCTTTACTGACCGAAGTCTGTGTAGGCACAAAGAGGCATGCAGGGGGGAGCCTGGCTGGCTCAGATGGTGGAGCGTGTGACTCTCGATCTTGGAGTCAGCGGTCCCAGCCCCACACGGGGTCTAGAGTTTACTTAAAACAAACAAACAAACAAACAAGAAAACAAAAAACCAAAAAAGAGGGAGAAAAGGACCCAAAGGACAGGTAGGGCTAGAGACCTTAGAGTCCCAAGACAACTTTCTGTCCCCAGGCCAGCTGTGAGTGAATAACCCTCGCCTCTCTTCCCTCATGGGCCCCTGTGAATAAAGAAACACAAAACGGACTGAAATCGGAGACGTGAGGCCGCACGGTAGGGCCCTCGGTAGCAGTGTATTTTCCTCATCTCAGTTACTCCGGCAGCACCCCGGTAGGTAGTGGCTACTGCTAGCCTCCTCTTGCAGATGAGGAGACCGGGCTAAAGTGAGAATAAGCAACTCAGCAGGCCAGCCAGCTCGCAAGGGGTGAGCAAGCCGGATGCAGGTGGCAGCCCTCTGGCTCCAGAGCCCCCTCCCGTGGATGTGGCACGTGGAACCATGATTCGGGGCTACTTTTGCCGAGGACGAGGCTCCGTTCGGTTGCTAAGGTGTGCAAAGTGTGAAGGTAGGGAAGGAAACATGCTCAGTGAATGCTAGCACGACTGGGGCCCAGGTAGGGCGAGATCTGTCAAGGGTCACGTGAGTGGCTGAGGTAGAGCAAGCTGGACTGCCCCGCGGAGATCGGACACAGGAAAGAACACGCAGATACTGGAGGTGCTCTAACACGCACATGACGACAACCCTTGTAGGGCTCTCACGCAATAATTAACCTCAAGTCAAAACTGTGCCTGGGGTATCTGGCCAAGGGGCTGGGGCGGGCCGGCCGCACTCACCAAGGGCCAGCCGGAGGAGGAAACATCTGGCTCAAGTCAGGAGGAGGTAGTCCCGCTGTCACCCCTTACCAGCTCCGTGAAAACGAATCGGTCCACAGACCTTTCTCAGTGTCTTACCCGTCCTCTGCGAGCACGAGGCCGGGCCACCTCCCTCCGTCAGGCGCAGTCGGTGAGCTGCCTAGGACCCATGCTGCATTTAGGAGCCCGCAGAAATGCTGTAGCTCCGGATTTCAAACGGGGCGGCTGAGCACGGTAAACATGGGCTAAGTCAGGTACACTGTCCTGCACAGGACCCGTTCTTAGAAGCTATTTTCAATACTTAGGATATTAACAAGTGCCGGAGCATCTATAAAACAGTTCTGGAAGGGAAATCCGCAGAGCCCTCAATCCGGCCCGCTCTCTTTTATTGGACAAGAAAGAAGCATGCATACCATCAGGTTGAGTTCAGTATTTGCTTAGGGTTTTCTTCTTTGGATGTAAAATTTACAGACAAAAGAAGGCACAACACCTTACATTTATTGAATTGGGACAAACCATATAGCCACTCTTTATCATCGATTCCTTGCTATACCCCAAATCTCTTGGCCCTTGTCCCTTTATCGAACTCACCTGGAGAAACCAAACACCTGCTTAAACTCAGCTCTCCAACCAATAAGAATGTATCCCCCGCTGCAAGAAACAAGAATAAGAAAGGAAACGAAAAAGAAAACAACAAAGAAATGAAATTTATTTATTCCTCAGCAAGGGCTCAGAAAGCCATTTCTAGGAAAGCCGAGGGGAGGAGGTGGGGGGGGTGGAGAAAGAGCGGCAGGAAAGTGGGTGATGACCCAGATCCAAAGGGTCCCACCCTAAGGGACATGCATGCTTGTATAGAGAATCTCGAGGCAGAGGCATAGACGCTGTGCCCAAAGGTGTTTCAAGATCCATGGTTGCAATGAGAGGAACACAACTTTGAAAAAGAAAAACGGAAAAAAACCCAAGCGAGCAGGAGCTCTGTCCAGTTGAAGCCGACCTGGAACGCTCTAAGCCCCGCGCAGGTTCGCAGCCCTGTACTGAGATGTGTCTTCATTACTAAAATCCCGGAGGCACAGGGGGCGCCTGGGTGGCTCAGTCGGTTAAGCGACTGCCTTCAGCTCAGGTCATGATCCCAGGGTCCTGGGATCGAGCCCGCATCCGGCTCTCCGCTCAGCGGGAAGCCTGCTTCTCCCTCTCCCACTTGTGTGTTCCCTCTCTCCTGTCTCTCTCTCTCTCTCTCTGTGTCTGTCAATTAAAGAAAGAAAGAAAATCTTAAAAAAAAAATCCATAAAATCCCGGAGGCACAGGACACTCTCAAGGGGCAAGCGTGGTTTTATTTGCAGAGTGCATCTGAGCAACAGGCGCGCTCAGAAGACCCCAGCCCAAGCTCCTGTTCCCGGGGACCCAGGGGTCTGGGGGTCTGGGGGTCTGGCGGGCTCTGACGTGAGCCGCCTCCCGGAAAAACCTCAGACGGCCACCTCGGGGTCCATCACTTTCCTTGCATTACTATTCCCTGCCTAGCCGCGGCGGCTGGATTCGCAGGGCTGGCCCAAGAGACACTCTCCCAACACTTGGGCAGGGTCTCCAGAGCTAGGGGGACGTCTGTGTCTTACCCTACCCACACGGGCTTGCGCCATACAGCACAGCGCCTTCCTGTGGGGGAGACAGGCCACCAGGTCGGGGCGTGCGAGCCCAGCTCCGACTTGAAGACTCAGCCTCTCTAGCTAGGCATTGCCGGCTCCGACGCCTTCGGGCAAGTGCGCCCTACCTGAGCTCCCCTTGCAAGTGCACCCGCCTGGTGGGTGGCCAAGCCCAGGCCGCATGCGCCCAACCCCCCGCGAGCCCACCCCCCCCCCCCGCAGCGGGTGGTATATATAAAGGGGGCGTCTACCCAGACACTCGGGAACGTGACAACGCCAGGACCGCTTTGCGGGAGCCCGTCGGCAGGCCACCGCTCTCTGCGGCGTCACCCATGGATCCAGAAGGATCCGACGGGGCACGTGCAGAAGACAGCACCAGGGATATGGAGCCTCCCGGCCCAGGCCAGGACGATGACACCGGCTTCCTCAGCCTGGAAGTCGACGAGGACCGGGAAGAGCCGCAGGGTCGGTGACCGTTGGGACAGGCGCCAGCAGCAAGCCCCAGAAACCAACGTTCCCTGGGCGAGGGGGGCGGTCCCGACACCCCGCAGAGGCTGCCCCTCGCGCCCTCCTTCCCACAGCCTGGGCTCTGACGCCCTGATCTTTCTGTCTGGATCTCCTCCTTTGCAGAAACCCAGCCTGCGGCGATGTCGCTTACCGCGGACACGGGAGACACCGGAGACGGAGCGGCGGCGGAGGCGGGGGCCGAGGTCGCACCCGAGCAGGACCCTGCCGCCGCTGAAGTCGAGGAGGAAGCGGACGGCGAAGCCGTCGGCGACGGTGATGGCGTCGGCGACGGCGATGGCGTCGGCGACGGCGATGGCGTCGGCGAGGAGGCGGACGGCCACGGCGCCGCAGAATTTCCGCCGCCTGGGCCAGGGCAGCCGGGGCCGCAGGGGCCGCAGGGGCCGCAGGGCCAGCCTCAGCAGGAGGGGCCGCCGCCCCAGGCCCGGCGCTTCATGTTCAGCCGGCTGCAGCTGCGCGAGCTGGAGGGCTTGTTCCAGCGCAACCAGTATCCCAACGTGTTCATACGGTAAGCGGGCTGCGGCGCTGGGCGCGGGCTGCCGGCTTCGCGGGAGGCCGGCTGCGCGGGCTGGACGGGCTGCGGCGCTGGGCGCGGGCTGCCGGCTTCGCGGGAGGCCGGCTGCGCGGGCTGGACGGGCTGCGGCGCTGGGCGCGGGCTGCCGGCTTCGCGGGAGGCCGGCTGCGCGGGCTGGACGGGCTGCGGCGCTGGGCGCGGGCTGCCGGCTTCGCGGGAGGCCGGCTGCGCGGGCTGGACGGGCTGCGGCGCTGGGCGCGGGCTGCCGGCTTCGCGGGAGGCCGGCTGCGCGGGCTGGACGGGCTGCGGCGCTGGGCGCGGGCTCCCGCCTTCGCGGGCGGCGGGCTGGGCGGGTTCGCAGCGTCTCTGTCCTCGCGGCTGACCGAACACCCCGCGGCCTCGAGGCTGCCGGGCCCGCCGAGCACTGGCGCTTCGGCGGGAGCTGAGCGCTCGCTCTGCGGGTGGGGCGGCGAAGGCGGACGCTCGCTCGGGCGGGTTTGATGGCGGCGAGCCGGGAAAGTGCCCGCCGCCCTTCACAGAAAAAAGTCCTACTGGCAGCAGGGTGGGCGGGGACGAGGGCGACAAGTCTGAGACGCGGAGCAGGCGGCTTAGGATCCTACCTTTGTTTAAAATCGTGGTAAGTCTGCTCGTCGGGAATTATTTCTGCACTCAGTTTTTTAAAATGATTCATTTTCAGTAATCTCTACACCACCGTGGGGCCCCTGCACCCATTTTTACATTTTTAAGTACTGCACTTGAAAACTATCTGGATTAGTGAATATTCTGCATTCCCTTCGATTTTGCTAGAGGTCTTGAAAAAACTAAAAGTTAAGAAAAAGAAGAAGAAAAGAAAAGGGGCGCCTGGCTGACTCAGTCGTTAGAGCCTGTGACTCTTGATTTGGGGGTCTTAAGTTCGAGCCCCACGCCGGTTGTAGAGATTAGTTAAAAATAAAATCTGAAAACAAAGTACAATTAAATCTTGCTTGAGGGAAAGCTGCCCTGCAGAAGGAAAGCTCAAGCTAGATGGTACAGGACAGTGTTGGGGGCGGCGAGGCGTCTGCGGCTGTGGGCGGGGGTAGGGGAGGAGGAAGTCAGTGCTACCAAAACTTTAAAATAAGCACAACCAAAGAATGAACAGCAGTTTGTGCCATCCCTTAGCACCTATGGGAATGTACTCTAACTTGGTCATCACTGAGAGAGAGAGAGAGATGGGGGAGAGTCAGAGAGAGGGAGAGAGATGGATGGACAGCACCTTATTGGAGGGCTCTAATTTAATCCATAAAATGGATTAAGAGCAATGATCGAAAGTCGGCAGAGATAGATCCTCAGAGATATTTCTTCATTTTGAAGCTGGTAACACTAAAAGAAACTGGGTTA